TAGCCAGTTTTTGATCCATAAAAGGACTTGTCCTTTTATCCCATGATTTTTGAGCTTACTTAGAAGCCTTTGATGAGGAACTTTATCAGAAGCTTTCTGGAAGTCAAGGTAAACAACATCTATTGGATCCCCCTTGTCCACATGTTTGTTCAACCCCTCAAAGAACACTAACAGGTTAGTGAAACAAGATCTTCCCTTACAGAACCCATGCTGAGTCTGCCTCAATAGTTTTTGTTCATCAGTGTGCTTACTAATTCTTTCCTTAATAACAGTTTCCACCAACTTACCCAGTATCGACGTCAGACTGACTGCCCTGTAATTTCCCGGATCTCCTCTGGAACCCTTTTAAAAGATGGGAGTGACATTAGCTACCTTCCAGTCCTCAGGAATGGAGGCAGATTTTAAGGAAAGATTACATATTTTTGTCAGGATATCCACAAGTTCATATTTGAGTTCTTTCAGAACTCTCGGACGTATGCCATCCGGGCCTGGTGATTTATCAGTTTTTAAGTTGTCTTGAAGACTGCCTTACCTTTTTATACCCCACTTCTCACAGGGGTACCCAAGGGGTGGTGTACATGATTGGGGTGTCACAACCGTACCTGCAAGGAGCCGAAGGGCTATAGTGCTAGCGGGTGAATCAGGAACAAACTGTCCTTTCCTCAGAACTCAGGTTAGTCACATTAAGCCCCCTTGCGTGGGTTTGACTACCCCTTTTATCAGCATGAAAGCTCCCTATCAGTGTTTCAGCACACCTGATCAGGTCTTTGCGTTCATGCTAACCTCTTCCTCACCGGATGAGGGTTCGGACATTTTTATTCCTTTTAAATTCCACCCCTCCCACTTAAAGCCACAAGGCTTGTTCCCTGCATCTCCTCGCGGCGTCTGTATTGGGTCCTGATTGTCTCGCTCCGTTTCTTGCGGCTTGCCTACTTCGGTCTTCTTTCTCCAGGCGTGTCTGTTGTGGGCTCGCGCTCTCCCGTTCTCCCATGTTGTGATACCTCCTGGCCCTCTCTGACGTAGGCCGTCCTTTTCGGGTGTAGGCGATAATTCCTGACATGGGGTAGTCACATTTCCCCCCTCACAACAACTTTGTGAGGTCGGTTAGCCCCAGAGTGACTGGCTCAAGGGAACTCAGTGAGTTTCATGTCCTGGAGGGGAGAGTTTTCTCTGGTTCTGGACCAGCAGGGTAACTACTAGGCCACAACGTCACTACTGGCTGTACCTCAGACTCCAGATCAAGTCTGTTAACTTGAGTACATACAGTGCTTCATACTCTTCTGCAATTGATGGCTTACAGTGTTCTCTTACTGCAGTCGATGTAGGGTGTGGTAGGAAATGGGCCAATAGACATAAGGATCAGCATGATGAAATAATCCAGGCTGGTAGTTCCGTGTGTGCTTTTATAGCTTTTGAATAATTTCCATTATAGCTCTCCCGCCCCCCCGATTCTCATCTACATTTTT